TAATAAAAATATTAGAATACTTATAATATTTTCTTATCTACTCCTATTTTCCCTATAGGTAAAATCGTACCTTTATAAAGTTCTTATCTTTATCTATACGTATATAATACTCTTATAGATAAGTATAGAGGATTAAATATAGAAAGTGTATAAACACTTAAACTATATAAAACTATAAATAACGTTATAAAACTATAAACAACGAATATTATATATTTTTATAACTTATAATAAATAGATACTCCCTTTTACTCTTTAAGGGGCCTATGCCCTATATAAACTATCTCCTAGCGATATATTCCTTTCCTAAGGTTATACTTATATGTATATTTCTATAAATATAAGCTAGATTAGGTTAATCCTTAAATTTCAACTTTAAGGCCTGATTCTGAAATATAATATCTAAATAAAGGATTCTTATTTTTATTTAATTAATATACCTTATAAACTTATATTTATCTATTATATCCTATAATTAGTAACAGTAAAGCTGTATAGGGTCTTCTCGTCTAACTAGAGGTAAACTATATCTGCATAGTTATTATAATTTCACTAAGTTAATTATAGAGACAGCTATTATATCGTTACATCATTCATGCAAGACCGCATTTAACGGCTAAGGTATTTCGCTACCTTAGGACCCTCACGTTAAGGCCGCTATTAACCGGGGGTTCTGTTAACACTAAATTATTCCTAACTTAGTTATATCTGTTAACCTGCCGGGATCGGGCAGATATTATACTTAATACTTAGATTTATTATCTTTTAGCAAAGTGCTTTGTTTTAATTAAACAGTCGTACAACACGATTTTATGCTTCTTCCTTTTTACCCGATATTAATCAGGACTAATGAGCACTCCTTCTCCCGAAGTTACGGTAGTTATTTTGCCGAGTTCCTTTATGATTGTTAGCTTATTAACGCCTTCGTATTCTCTACTAGCTTACTTGTGTTAGTTTTTAGGTACGGTTATATATTATACTATTATCGAACTATAATAATATATATTTTTACTATTTTTCTAGTATATTTTTCACTTAAAAATATTGTTTTTTAGTAAAAAAAGATTTTCTTATCGTTAAAACCTTTAGGTTTTTAACTTAGAGGCCGTTACTTAATTTCTATAAGCTTTAGGCGGAGGTAGGTAGACAAAAACCAATACATCGGTACTAATTTTGGCTACCTCCTTCTTATTCGTTACTTATATTACTATTGTCACTTGAATTATTTATTATATATATATTATAAATATATCTTAATTTAATTCAACGTTCTGCTACCCTATATATTTTTTATAAAAAAAAGAAATATATAGATAAGGTTTCGGTATATTGTTTAGATCCGTTAAATTTTCGATGCTTTTAAAACTTAATAAGCGCTTTGTTACGAGATCTTTAAATTATGGCTGCTTCTAAGCCTATCTCCTTGTCGACTTTAATAAAAACCTTCTTAATTTCACTTAACTAATAATTTTGGAACCTTAACTCTTGTTCTGGGCTGTTTCCCTTTTGATATATAACCTTATTATTCTATGTCCGATAATTCAAAATTTATCTTTACTATTCCGAGTCTATATACTCACCGATAAAATCTTCACGATTCCCCGATATATATAAATTAAAAATGTAAATTTTATAAATTTAGTATATCTTATCTGAGATTAAGTTCTGTACCTGCTAAGATATTATTTAAATTGCCTACTATTATAGGTTTCGCAGAAAACCAGCTATCCTGGTCAGTATTGTCTTTCACTACCTACCATAATTCTTCGGATATCTTTATAACGATAACCCGTTCGGACCTTTATAATCCTGATTATAGTAAAATTACCAGGCTTCGGGTCTAACTTTAGACACTTTTCGTTATTTTAACGATTAGTTTACCTACGTTTATACTCGTATCTAATATTAACTTAGTAACCTATTATGCAAAAGGTACGTTCTTGCTTTCGCTTGAACTGCTTATAAAACTACTATTTCTGACCGTCCTCTCATGATACTCTTCACTGTCGCTTATGTATTATATTTAGTCTTTGAGGAAGGTTCCCTATTAAATTTAAATAGTTTCTCGACCGTTTTACTTATTAGACAGACTGCTCTATTTTAGCTCACGTTAATAATAGAATCTCTTTTGATTTCTTTTCCTGAAGTTACTAAGATATTTTAATTCACTTCGTTAACTATCTAATTTCTCTTAGAGTTTATATTTCTAACCTTATATTTTATTAAAAATACTATAGCAAAGATTTAAATTAATAAACCAAAAGTTATATATTTTTAATTAATAAATAAGGGTAAATAAATTATACTCGTTAATACATAGCTTAGG